TCTTTGTACGATTTATTATTAATTTTTTGTGATTTTTTTCCTAGATTGAAGCATTGCCCACGTTAAACAGACTTTTACTTTGGATCGTCTTACCTTTGTTTTCTGGATACCTGAATGATATTCTGCAGAATATCACCAGTTGTCTGCAGCTGTTTGTGAAGCTGCAGGTTCAGTACTGTAAAGGAAAAATTGAATTTGAGATAATATTTAATTTGAGAGTTTACAATTTAGATAACATAATGAACAGTGTATCCGCAGATCTGACTGGTCAAATTACATTCAATTTTACATTTGTTTAAGAAATATTGTAATATAAATATATTATAATATTATAATAATTAATCATTTTGGATTTCATAAAATTGCAGATCTAAATTTCTAAGAACACATAGAGCCAAAAAAGGAAAGATAAAATAAGTAAAAGAAAATATAAAACTACTACCTAGCTGAATAGTAAAACATGATGTTCCGAAACATATTTTTTTAAGAATTTTTTTCGTATAATATGTTTCTATTGAAAGCGCGATAAAAAATTCGATCAAAGGAAGCCATGGAATTTTAAGATTTCTTTTTGGTCGTAGTATTTTCAAGTTAAACTTTCAAATTGACAACAAGCTGCCAAGACGAAAATTTTATGACAGACAAATCTTCAAAATTCCGTACCTGTCTTTGATAGTATTTTTTTATTGCTCTCTCGATATATAGGTAGTGTAGTAGTTTTCAGGTAATTTGGCCAATCGTTCGAGATAAAATATCCTGTCTATCTACGTTATGGATTAAAGGTGTCAATACATGTTTATAGTAAATATGTTTCTAAATTGTACGTTATTTTCAGTGTTGTAATATGCCTGAAATAAGTAAAAGTATACTTGTTTGTGTGTATACAAGGTGACTGCGAAATACATGCAAAAAAAAAATGGGGAATAGCTCACAATATGATTATGTCACTGGGTAAAATTCACGGTCCTAAGTAGTAGCAGTGTCTAGAAAAAATTATTTGAAATTCAATGTAAATTGTTGTACGCGCCGCTGGACTGTTTTGTGACCTACATAATTACTACAATGAATGGAACAGAGCGAGTCGGTTAAAGAATCAAAAAAGTTACTTTATCAGGCACTTTTTTAATCGCAACGTGAAAAACACGAAAAGGGCAGTTAGCATCGAGCGGTCGGTGAAATCGGTTTATGGTGCAGTTTTCCCATGCAGATTGTGTCGATATGGTAATGGGTGCATCAGTGGTACAGCATCTCCGAGATCATGGTACCTTCAACCTCAAACTCACGATCGTGGCCGTGATAGGACAGAAAGAAGAAGTTGGATTTTCACAGCTTGTAGTGCATCCTACATTAAAAGAATACGGCCACATCATTACCATGTTGACAAAGTGCACGGTTTGGAGTCCACTGATTGTTCACGTTGTGTAACTCACTTTTTGTCCGATGGAACTCCACGTAGTCGTCAACAAGTACGATTTCAAGAGACGGTTTTCGATAAATGTGTATCAGTTGGATGAAACAGTTCGTTTGTGGAAATCAACAGTGTCCAGAAATTATCGAAGAGCTTCAACAAGTGAAAGTGACACCCGCTACTCCGGTGTTTTTTTACCTATCAACAAACCTCTTGCGACGCTCTGACGCCTGTATTGCTAGTCAAGGACAACATTTTCAACATTTCTTGTAAAAAGGTAGTAGCATTCTAAGTTGCTCTTATTTCTGTTCCAATAAACAACGTAAAATCGTTGTGACAAGGACCAAACATCCGTCAGAATCAAAATTACCAAAAAACTTTCACACTGACCTTTAACGATGAATGAGTAAATGAATGAACGAATGATAAGCAGCAAAAAGTCGGTTTTACTTTTAATTGAAACTGAAAGTGTTTAGGTCGTTTTTATTCGAACGTTTTTCCAACTCTGTTTACAAGGTGGCTCAGTGCCTTCGTATCGAGGGTGGTTCATGGGGGTTTTGCCCCATTCGATTTTTAATTTCTTTTTTCTATATTTCAGCTCTACTAGGGTGGGGGATGCCGTGGTTAAAATATTTGCACTTATTTCGCAGTCACCCTGTATGTAATAATATGTATATATTCTAAGTTTGCTTTTTTGTGTTCGTAGAGTATCTAAAAGCTCATGTGAAGTTTTTGTTTTGTATTTTGTTGTATTGTACTGTTTATAAACATATTTATAAGATAATACCACCTTAACTTTGTAACGATAATTTTATACTTAACCATTTATAACCATTTGTTAAAAAATGAATATAATTTTTCTTTAAACTGGCTTTTAACAACTTATAACAACCTATTTCATACCAACTTATTACAGAATATCAACTTTCATTGCGTAGCCGTAAGAGAAACATGAATAATTTTTTGATAATGTGTAGATATATATTATTACGACATAAACCCATACGCCACCCCGGTACGACGCCTATGACTCATCGTCGGTGACGGCGGCCGGGCGGCGTTCGCTAAAGAAAAGCTTGGAAGCGGAAGTCGCGATTGTACTCTAGAAAAACCTAGACCGTGTACCATCTAGAAAGGAAGTATGGGTTTAAATAGAGGTCACTTTTGGGAACGACGACTATGCAGACGAGTCGAGTCCAGTGAATGTTGAGAGAAGGCAGTCAAGCTGCACCGGAATTATTTTGTACATAATCGCTCGATAAATTAGAGTTACTAAGAAATAAATCGTTGAATTTTACCCACGCCGATTTTAAATCACCGATCAACGTAACAATATAATCAGTAATCACTGCATCTTTTTTCATTAGAAGTCGTTCTTATTCGATAAGAGTGTGTTTGTTAGACATATTATAATCTCCAACAATAATAAAATTATATTTTTTAACAAATTTAAAAAAACAAGAAAAACGTGTTTCAAATATAAATTATTTATATAGCGTTTAGGTGTTTCTATAAATTAAGTTTGTCGAAAAGATTAGCTAAATACTTAAATATCCGTATACAGGCTGTCTGGAATGTTACGAAGATCCTCAAGGGTACATTTTGGCGGAGATATGTCATCTCAAAGTTGAGTTCTTTTGTTATGTTTATAAGAATGCCCTATATTTGTCTGTCATTCAAAATAAATTTTCAGAATTTAATATCTCTCCATTACCAACAAATTTATTGCTATGAAATTTTAAATATAAACTGCTCACAACTTTTACTGTATAATGGGAGGACAGCTGTTTGACAATTTATTATCCTATATTTTTTTTAACTTTATCGAAATCCATTTTAGTTCTCCGAATATTGATTTTAAACATACGCACCTTTTATTTAACACAATATTTAATACTAATACGATGTAAATATACGTATATAGTGCATCTTTTTTAAAAGTGGCCATAGGGATTCCCATGTTAAATTTTATACCCCATGTTAACTTATGTTTGAGTAAAGATTCGGAGCTGAAATTTTCACTGGATGTAACTTATATCTTTTGTCGATTTTATTAAAAATCATGTTTTAACATAAAGGATATTTCTTTAAAAAAATTAAAATATTTGGATATTTTTGCCATGTAAAAACACACATTTACCTGACGTCTCCAAACTTTGATTACTCGTTCAATTACTGGTTTTTAGTGACCGAAATTCGTCAACATGACGTAGTACACAATTAAAGAAAAAGTAGAAACGGTCACTGATGGATACATTAAAGCCTTGACAGAGAAACTTTGCAAAATTTTGCTGCAGCATTCCCACATCGTTCCATACCCGGCAAGAGCACATTTTGAAAATTTTATGGCAGATTTATAAACACAGGTTTTTTTGATCTTGGACATTAAAAACGCAATTTCAGTGAAATTATCTTTTATCATCTTCATTTATGTTTGATTTCCATCATTCTGTTTCTTTTCTCAAAACTGCAATTAAGGTATTTAATGATTAAATCAAAATTATGTTGTCAAAAATGACAAGTTAAAATGATAAGTCAAAACCGTCTATGGTGTACCAAACTTTTGTAATCAAAATAATTTTGATTTTTTAAAGCACAAACTAGCAAATTACTGCAAAAAGTGGTAGTTAAAATTAAAGTAGAACCCTAAGGTTATTTTCTCCGCAAAAATCATCTCTGGGTTTTCACCCTAACAAAAGTTAACATGGGGTCTAAAATTTAACATGGGAATCCCTATGGCCACTTTTAAAAAAGATGCACTGTATATTGTTTAATGTGCTACATGATCTTCTTCCTTTCCATCTAAAAAAATACTAAATTGTCTACTTTTTATTAATTAATGGTTTGAATATAGTAAAAATATTTATAAATTAACCATTTAAACAGACACCTAAGTTCTGATATATATATACATAACATGCTATTAACTTAACCTTAATAGCCAACAATTTTTTTCGTCAAAATTTTGAATTTGTTTTTGACTGTGGGTTGAGTTTTATTTTCTAATTTTCTACTACAATACATGATTTCTCTCAGATTTTAGTAGTGTCGCTAAAAAAATGCTGATGACTTGATCTATTCGTACAGGAAAAAAATATATAGTGATGAGAAACTGGAAAAATATAGTTTTAGGATTTTACTTACAGTTTCTTAATAATTGTTGTTACGTTACTTATATTGGGAAATTATTCTCTTAAGCTCACTAACATCACCTAGTATACTGAGTCTGGCAAAGCTGATCTGTGCTCACGGAGCCTAATACAAAATTTAACATCTTCTAAAGTATAATATTATATTATAATGTTCTGTAACCCCTAATTAAAGCTTATTTGCTGGTTATCGTGAGAAAATTATCAGGTGGTAGACGTAAACGTCTTCCGAAGTTGTACTAAATTAAAAATCCATCGTTTAAATTCACTGTGATAATTATTGTTATTTGTATTTTTAAAGAGCCATAAACACTTAATGAGACTTTACAAACCCAACGCGGAACAAATATCCTTTATATTGTCTCCAGTTCTTTAGAGACATTTCGTGAGTCGCACTCTAACAGTCAGCTTCTAATATTTTAACACAAATAAACCAAAGAAAAATGGAAAAATTCGACTGGAAAATTATAGTCAGAGCCAACCTATTTATTCTCAATTTAGTGGGGTTGTGGCCCAAATCTGGAAAAGGTTACTCATTAAATTTATATACTTTATATGCACTTGTGGTTAATACCACTGTCGATGCTCACAACGTATTCCAAGCAGCTTACATTTGTGCAATATACAAAGATTTGCAAGCAATAATTGCCATAATTTTTATTCTCGTCACGGAAGCGGACGCTTCAATTAAAATTTTCTACTTCGTACGGCGGATATCTCTTGTGCAGTCTCTGCTGAAAGAATTAGAGAATGACGAGTTTCAACCCAGAAACTCTCAGCAAAGGGAAATGGTCCAGCGTACTTTGAATCCTTGGATGCTAATTTACAGAACGTTTTGGATTACTACAGGCACTGATTTGTGTTTCTTGTTCATTTTTCCTATTATGGACGGTTCGCACAAAGATTACAGGCTACCATTTTGGGCGTGGTATCCCTTTGACACCAAGAGGTCTCCCAATTACGAAGTAACTTACATATATCAAGTGCTATGTACGTGGTTTCTGGCTTCCTGTAATATAATTATGGACACTATGTTCGCCGCCCTGATGACATATATTATGGCTCAGTGTGACATTTTAAGTGACGATTTACGAAATTTGGCAGATGGTGACGATAGTTACAATGTAAAAATTGTAAAATGTGTACAACACCATAAGAAAATTTTGAGGTATGAAATTGCTTTGCGCAAAAGTTTGTGGTAAATTTTGATTTTTAGATTTGCCGAAATTACAAATGAGTGTTTTAATGAAATCACTCTTTGGCAGTTTTTCACAAGTGCTGCGTCTTTAGCACTGGCAATGTTTCAATTAACAGTAGTAAGTATTATGACTGTGCTTAGCTCAAATTCGAGGCGCAATATTTAAAGGTTCCTCCTCTTAGTAGTGAGGGTATGTCGTGTGGGTTCTTTATTTGCACTATCACAGTACAAATCTTTTTATACTGCTGGTTTGGTAACGAAGTCGAAGTTAGGGTAAGTCATTAATCATTTTCAAAGCACATATTAATGCCGATTTTAAATGTCAATAACATCATATCTTTGGTTTTAACGTATCTCTGACGAAAGGCTACAGCTCACACTAAAATTTCAGGAAAAAGGAACTGTTAAACATACTTAAAATAGTGCTTTAAAAAAGTAGTGTAATACACTATAAGCTGTGCTAGATGTTGTTTGTATTCACCCAATTGTAGAGTGGTCGTTTCGAACTCAGAAAAATTCAAAGCTATTATTTATTTAATGACGACATTACTGTTTTTCAACCAACGACTGTCAACTTGTGATCTCATTAGTTTAGGTCATTTAATACGATAATAATAATACAATAATACATCAACTAAAATTATTACAAAATTCTACTGTTTAGAACGGCAAAATTTGTCGTTCCAGTGAGACAGTTTAACATGAGATCTATATATTTTTTTTATTCTAGTGTAAGTTATTACACTTCATATACATATGAATTGTGAAGGTACCAACGAAATATGTAAGTACCAAAATAATTAGCTTTAGGGATTGCTTTCGAATCGTTTCAATTTTGAGACGTTTGTATCAAATTAACCTGTCATTTTAAAAATAAATGTATCTTTTTGTGAAAACAGTTTTCAAATAAATATTTGTTACCATGAAGGCTTCGATTATTTTTAGTATGAAATGGTAAGTTTTTTAAGAATCTGAAAATAAAATAATTCATTTTATTATATATTTAATTAATATAAATCGATTCATATATAATATTTTAATACTTCAATATAATAATAAAGAAGAAATAATACTGATGTCAGTCTAATTAAAAAATAATCTGATATTTTTCCGCATATGTCATTAACTCCGTGGTGGGGATAATACATAGCTTGTGTACGTACAATGTAACACTGATCAAAATACTGCCTGCATTCAAGAACAATTATATACAAACCTGTATCTAACGAAATATATAAAATAAATTAATTTTTATACACTTTGCTTCACGACAGATTTATTAAAACATTTACTAATTTTCAAGAAAACACATGTAGCGCATTGCTGTCGTGGAAGTTGTGCTTCCATTGTCGACATTAATGCTGCTAATTAAAAGGAAATTTACATGCCTTTCATAAACAACATCATTTTAAAACTTTTACTTAAAAATAGTATGCAATTATTTAAATATAAAATAAAAAATGCTACACTATACTTTTTTTCAGTTTTCTGTAAAAAAAATCCATTTTACTTCGCCGAATAACGATTTTAAATTGTGCAATGTGCTACGTGATCCTTTTCTTCCTTTTGGCCTAAAAAAAATACTGAATTGTTTATTTTTTTAATGAATTGTTTGAATATAACAAATTAATAAAAATATATGTAAATTAACCTTATTAACTGACACCAAAGTGCTGGTAAATGTACAAAATGCGTTCTTAGTTTTGCGATTTGTACCACCAGTTTTGACATTAAGGTTGTTGACATGTTCAGAGCGTTTGTTTTATTTAAACTTAACATTCAAAAATCTTTTTCATCGAAATTTTGAGTTTGTTTTTGAATGTGGATACTTCTTGAGGGTTAAGGATATAATTTTTTATTTTCTAATTTTCTAATACAATATACATGATTTTTCTCAGATTTTAATAGTGACGCTGAACAAATGTTGATGACCTGATCTAGTCGTACAACAAAAAAATATATAGTGGTAAGACCGATGAGGATCTGGAAAAGTATAGTTTTAGGATTTTACTTACAGTTTCTTATTAATTATTGTTACTTTCCTTCTACAGGAAATTTATCCTCGAGTAGTTGTCCACTAACACCACATTTAGTTAAATAACTAGTCTGACAAAAGTGCCCTGTGCTCACGGAGCCTAATACAAAATTTAACATCTTTCAAAATTTAATATTATCTTGTTTTGTAACCCCTAATTAACGCTTATTTGCTGGTTATCGTGAGAAAAATATCAGGTGGTAGACGTAAACGTCTTCCGGAGTTGTATTAAATTAAAAATCCGTCATTTAAATTCACTGTGATAATTATTGTTATTTGTATTATGGAGAGAGTCATAAACAATTAATGAAACTGTACAAACGCAACGAGGAAAAATAATCCCCAATACCGTATCATATTCAAGCCATTCAGTAACTAACATTCTAACAGTCAATTGCTGATATTCCAGTCTAATTAAATCAATTAAAAAATGCAAAAATTCGATTGGAAAATTATAACTAGAACCAACTTATTCATTCTCAAATTACTTGGACTATGGCCTAAATCAGAAGAAGGTTATTCATTAAATCTCTACACTTTTTACGCAATCGTAATTAACATCACTGTTGATGCCCACAATGTATTCCAAGCGGCTTACATTTCTGTGATATACAAGGATTTGCAAGCAATAACTGGCATAATTTTTGCTCTCGTCACAGAAATCGACGCTTCAATAAAAATTCTGTACTTTGCACGACGAAGAAATCTGGTGCAATATTTGACGAAAGAATTACACTGTGAAGAGTTTCAGCCTAGAAATATCCAACAGAGGAAATTGGCCCAACGTGCTTTGAATTTGTGGTTGTTAATTTACAAATCATTTTGGATTACTGCAAGCACAGATTTGTGTTTCTTGTTCTTTTTCCCATTTATGGACGGTTCGTACAAAGAACATAGGCTACCATTTTGGGCGTGGTATCCTTTTGATACCAAAAAGTCACCAATTTACGAGCTAACGTACATATACCAAGTGACAAGTTCGTGGTTTTTGGCGGCTTCTAATTTAATTATGGATACGATGTTTACTGCTCTGATGACATATATTGTGACACAATGTGATATGTTATGTCACGATTTGCGACATATAACCAATGGTGATGATAGTTATAGCGTAAACATTGTGAGATGTATAAAACATCATAAGAAGATTTTGAGGTACGAAAGTGACGTGTGCAAAAATTTCTGATAAATTTTGCTTTTTAGTTTTGCCAAAATTACAAGTAAGTGTTTCAATGAAATCTCGCTATGGCAACTTTTCACAAGTTCTGCATCTTTAGCACTGGCAATGTTTCAGTTGACAGTAGTAAGTAATTTGACTTTAGTGAATTCAAATTTTACGTGCAATTTTTAAAGGTTGCTCCTTTTAGTAGTGAGGGCATGTCGCTTTTGTTCTACGTTTGTACAATGACGGTACAAATTTTTTTATATTGTTGGTTTGGCAATGAAGTAGAAGTTAGGGTAAGTGTATTAAAATTTTTACTGGATATTTGAATGCTGTTTTATCATATGTAATTTTAACTCACATATTCGGTCAAATAGTTTACGATGTAAATGTGAACAAATATAGAATTCGTATTTCGAATACGAAAATATTGTCTTCTTAGTGTTACACTTCATTCAAGATTCTTCCTTAGAACTATTTATTTGGTTTGTAGAACAAGGTAAACGCGTTTTCAATTTGTGTTTAAACAACAACCTTCGTAAAACGTTTTCCTATTATATGTGTCTCAAAATTAGAAAACTAGTCGTCAAACGTGTTTTTTTTGCCATTTCAAACGAAATATTTGATTTTTTTAATTTTAGGGAATTTTGTTATGCTTGCTACGACAAATCTGAAATTCTAACATTCGAAGCTTAAATTGTCACAATAATAAACTATTATTAACAAGGTGTCAAGCTAAACATAATTTTACGCCCCCCGAAGTCGAGAAATTTCTTAAACTAGCGCTCGATAAGTTTGGTCCAAGCACTGTCTAAATCTAAACTTGTCCGGATGCTCCAGTGTTTTACAGATGCAGTTAGGTGAATCAACTGGCTGTAAAACGGTTAAAGGTGATAGCAATTTTCTGCAAGATATTATCATCCAATGTGTATTAAAAAGATTATCTCCTTCTTTTGACGTTTATTTAATTTGTCATTTGACAATATTTCTAGTGACTACAAATCTTGAAAACACAAATTAAATTAATTCTATTAAGAACAGGAGGTAGGAAAATGTTCTATAACCGTTAAATACACCAAAAAATTGTGGTGATCGTGGAGGGGGCACGGTGCCTAGGACTTCTCCAAAATCTGATTAAAAAAGTATTTCCAAATTTTCACTTTATTAGAAAATTAGACAATAATTCTCTAAGTTATTATAATATTGTTTGTAACATAGTATTTTAAATATTTGTTAATTATTAACTTAGTATTGTAATTACGAAACCAAACTTACTTCTGCCCCGTCCCTCCTGAATAACAGTCAGTTTCTCTGGGTATGTCACTGACAAAAAATAAACTTTCACTAATTTCAGAACATTTCTGGAAAAAAAAATATCATTATCGAAGAGAAAAGAAATGTTTTCGTATATTCCAAAATTTATTTATCAAAAACAATTCGTGTTTTTAAGGCTTCTTCTCTTAAAACAAATTTTGTGTTGGCATTTGTACAGATAATTTTGACAAATTACTCCAAACAAATTTCTTGGAATTAAATGTTCAAAAATTATTAAATATAGAAACGAACTGAGGCTGAGGTTTAAATCTCTTAAAAAATAAGTAAAGTTATAGACATTTGTTTCATTGTAGAGGAAATGCCAGAAGCATGTTTGGTTCCATTTTCACTACGAATGTCTTTCATCAAAATGGTACATTTTAAATTTGTTTAAAAAAAATAAATATCTCTATTCTGAATGAAAAGTATCTACTTTGCTTATCTTAATAACGACGTTAATCAAATGTCCTTTTTCTTAAAACCAGCAATGTTC